ATTCCATCACACAGCTGACTTGTTATCATAAACTGTAACATTTCTAGTCCATAGTCCATACTATCCATTTCTTTTCGGGATAGTAAGTAAAACACATGCTGAAGTACTACACCAAAGAAGACCGTTTGTTTTTAAATAAATAAATACACCCAAATACTTAGACATTTCTGTATATTTGTTCTGTATATTTGTTCATTTCTGTATATTTGTTAGTATAAGCCAAATATACTTACAGTGGAATACATAATTACACTTAAGTATATATCGATCAAACTTTAAGTACAAATAAAGCCAAGCATAATAAAGAATAATAATGTTATATCTAAAGTATATTTCGGTAACACTTTACTTGAAGGGGTGTGCATAAGACTGACATGACACCTTCATAATCATGACATGACACATGTCATGAATATGAAGGAGGTTTTATGCATGTTTATGACAACTGTCATTAAGTGTCATTCGCTCAGTTATGTCATTTTTAATGCAAATATGACATTATTTGACCTAACCCTACCCCTACCCTTACCCCTAACCATAGCCCATAACAAAGACATCTCAAACAATGTCATATTTGCATAAAAAATTACATAACTGAGCGAATGACACTTAATGACAGTTGTCATAAACATGCATAAAAAACCTTCATATTCATGACATGTGTCATGTCATGATTATGTAGGTGTCATGTCATGATTATGAAGGTGTCAATGTCAGTCTTATGCACACCCCTTCAAGTAAAGTGTAACCTATATTTCTGAATAGTATAAGAAAAGTAGACTGAAAGTGTACTCTTTTAATATTAGTTTAAAAGTGCACTAATAGCACACTTGAATTAACTTTTTGTAAGAGAAAAGCACCTCACTCACAGAAGTGATACTTAAATGAGAACAGTGAGCTCCTTCAAAGAAAAGTGCGCTTATACAATTGTCTCTACAGAAATTGAAGAGTTTTCTCAGTGTATTTCATCAGTAGGCATGTCATCTGAAAAGATGACAGGAACAAAGCTGCTATCCTGATTGGTGGCGAGAGACCGGAATGGTTGGAACAGCCTTAAACCACAAACCCAGAGTGTTCCGTCACTCAGGGACGATGATAGTGTAATCTGACACGAGTGAGCTGCCTTTGGCTTCAAATATCAGAGAAGTTTTAGAAAAGAGGGCGAAGGGAGCAATGATATGTCAACAGATTTTTCAAGGTCTGCTGTTTTTAAGACTAATGTCAGTATATGAGAATACTGTTTTAAAAATGCTATTCCACATCATTTAAAATGTACGAGGTAAATAGTAACAACACATGAAAAACAGGAACACAACAGTGAATAGTGCTATGTACAGTACAATGCTACAAATGCAGAATCAATTTCACTGAAAAAAAAAAAGGTTTTTATTATTTTTTTATTTTATTTTATATACCTAATTAAAGTTAAATAAATAAATGTAATAGTTATTTATTTATTTATTTATTGTTTGTGGTGTTTTTTTTTTTTTTTCCAGGTTTGATTTGATTTTTTAAAGATGTTTTTAATTATTTTTTTTAGGGTAAAATCAGACAAAAATACTGATAAAGAAAATGATTTCCATATGCAATCACTAAAATATTATGCATGCAAAATAGGCAAAATAAAGTGCGTAAAAATAATGAAAATAAGAAATTTGTATTTACCAGTATAGTGGACACCACCAGCGATCTGTTGGAGAGAGAATCCGACACATTGGCTGCCTTTCCCTTCTGGTTTTCCGTCATGTTCAAACCACTAGCAGGATCCCATGTCCCAATCTGCAAAAAAAAAAAGAAAAAGAAAACACTTCATATTTTCATTAATCTATGGGATGATACAAAAGGAGGATGAATACTACACTAATGCAATAAAGAGCACTTTCTCTTCTATGGCCATAGAATCTATAACAGTTTCAGTGAATGTTGTGTGGGTTCTTTACTCATTGGGACACATTATCTATGCAGAGGCTTAAAGGAAGTGATGTGAAGACCATGTTATCATGCACAAGAGAGCAAAACGAAGAGATGGAAAAGAGAGAGAGTAAATGAGAATTGCTTCAGCGGACCAGAGAACTGCGATCCCATTCCTCCCTTCTCATTTACTTCAGAGGACCCTCTTGAGAACTGACAACTCAAAACAAGATGACAAAGTGCAGACATTCACGCACGTTCAGCTATCAGAAAACAAAGCACTTCAGAAAACGCACGGCCTGTGGTTTGTAATTGCAAATCACCTGTTTAATTCAGTCTTCATAAGGCTAAAGGGCTACTGAGGGCCTTATTATTAATGGGATAAATTATTCATGAAGGTGCAGACACATGTGGAAGAGAACCGGGAGGTCACGGTTTGCTTAGAGGCTCTCCGCATGTGTGTGTGTGTGTGTGTGTGTTTGGGGTTATTATTGTCTGTTCGTAAGTGTCTGGGTGAGTGTGTGTATTTACTGGTGTACACACGTTTGTCCTTATGAAGGACAGCAGGTACATAACTAAGGACATGTGAAAGCAGAGGAATCCAGCACCTTCTCTAGCCCCTCTTCCTTCAGGCTGATCACATCCAGATCGAAATCTGTCCTCAGGCCATTGGTCCTGTTGAAATTTATCCGTCCGGTCAAACCGTCCCAGTGGGCCTGGAGGTGTAAGAAAAATATTCATTATAAGCAACCTGAGACATCGGATGAATTCTTCCTTTCTGGCCAAACAGTGAAAATACGTCATTTATCAGAATGTAATGTTCACACTTTTATATGTTTTTCAAATCTGATCTTCAGGACAGACGATCCTCACTGCCATTTTGCAGGTTATGAATTCAGATCGGTTTGTTAAGAGCATGGTTATTACACTCTAAAAAATGCTGGGTTGTTTCAACCCAACGTTGGGTCAAATATGGACTAACCCAACCGTTGGGTTAAATTTTTACATTAAATTGTTAACCCAAAAGTCGGGTTAGTCCATATTTGACCCAAAGTTGGGTTGAAACAACCCAGCATTTTTTAGAGTGTATAGTTAACAAAAAATAAATAAAAAACTGAAATAAAATATAATATAGAAATTTAAAAACAAACAAGCAAACAAATACATAAATAAATAAAGCACAAATAAAGTAAAATGCAAACAGGAAATATAAAAATAAAAAATAAAAATATTAATAAGACTGTAATAGTATCTCAGTGATATTAAAGTAACTACACTCTAAAAAATGCTGGGTTGTTTCAACCCAATTTTGGGTCAAATATGGACTAACTCAACTATTGGGTTAAAAAGTTAATTTAAAAATGTAACCAAAATGTAACCCAACAGTTGGGTTAGTCCATATTTGACCCAAAGTTGGGTTGAAACAACCCAGCATTTTTCATGCTAATAAGCAACTAAGAGACTCTAAATTATAAAGTGTTACCGATTTTTCTTTAGATCTTTAGTTTTTTTTTCATATTTTCTGTCAAATTATAAAGGCAATTTAAGAAAAGAATATATTTTTATTATATATACTAGCTATGAAAATAACATAAAATGTATGGAATCAATCAACTTTTTTTCTCCTAAAACACATTTGTATCCAGTGTTGGATTTTGTAGTGAGAGAGAGAGTGTATACAATTGTGCTTTGAGCAAGTTTACTTCCACAGGTTCCAAAAGAAACATCTGTACGATTTCTGCTATTCACACTGCCATTCCAAAAACATTCACAGGTCAATCGGCCATCAGCAGTGCACCTGAGGCTCTCCGACGGTAATTAATCAAGCCTCAAAAACAGGTTAAACTCCAGTGTCATGAGCTGTGATCGCTGTATATTCAACTCAACGACCAATCACAGAGAATGAGAAAGTGTCAGAGTAGCCTTCAGCCGACTGCCACACAAACTGACAGCCCTCCATACCGGAGACCTCTCATTCCACAGACCAAAATAAAATCTAATTAGTGTTTGCCTTGGATGATTGAGAAGCAATCACAACACCTCCCAGACTGGGCCGGTATGGAAATCATGCCTGAGGGGGCTTCAGAAATTGCTATCCTGTCAAATAAATCATAGCCAAACCTGTCATTTTCCAGCTTTTGTCTCTGATTGTCTGCCGCAAGGTTGTGGCTAAAGATGGCTCTGCCTAATAATACTGCAACTTCACGCAAGCCTATTTGTATGTTTGCAGCAAAACAAATCATCATAGCCGAAAATTACAGATGCCAGAAGGCCAAGAATTAAAGACCCATCTATGAAGTTAAAAGTGTAGCAAAACTCGAGAGCTTGTACATTTGAATTTGGGAACTTGTACAATAAATAGCTGTAGTGCTGCAAATTTCATTGGTCAGGCATCAAACAATAAAACAACTTCATTCGTTTCATTCATAATTGTCTGTGATATACCGGTTATTTATCCTGATAACTGTTCGCCTTTTATTTGACATTTCAGTTATCTTGCAGTGGCAACTAACTTCCACCAGCTTTCAAGTTCGGGGTTGCCAGATATCAAGAGCTTAAATCCCCAAATCAGATTCATTATAAATGTAAATACATAAATAAATAAATATTAACATAACTTGGAATTAATGGAATTAATATTAGGCATTTTGAGGGAATATATTATAGGGAATATATCTATCTTAATATATTTTAAGAGAACTTGATGCAAAATAAAAATGAATTAATGAATTCATCATTTATATTAATCAATTAATAAATTAATTAATCATCATTCTGACCATTATCGTACAACCCTAAGTATTATATTTTAGTAATACAGTGTGTAACAGTATATATCAGTCATATTTATTCTTTATGCTGTCATTCATTTAGTTTTAGACATTTAAATGCTTTGCACTACGCTAAGGCCACTTTTCTAGATCAGGGTTATCTGCTTTTGTGTTTATTACAGTCATTCAAATTGCTGTGCCAAATTACAAGATGGTAAATGCTGTTTAGGAGCAGACAACAAATTGTTCATTACTGTACAAAACATAAGCTGCTTTATTAATGTGAAGGCTGTTCCAAAAGTTAACTAGCTCTTAGGATCCATCTTCTTTAGGCCACATTCTCAGGCAACATCACATGTATATTTCAAAATGAAGGTGGGGGGCAATATTGTGTTATTAACAACATGCAAACATCAAATTCTGCTGGAATCAATAGAGTCGCCTGCATGATTTGTGTGAGGAGTGTTATTTGTATGACACACTGACGTTCTGCCTGCAGCATTCTGAGTCAGTAATGGTATGGTCTCAGAGTAAATAGCAGCTATGCAAGCATGAGACAGAGAGGAAGCTCACTAGGGTTTGAAACAGAGCCAGTCTGTCATGTAAACTTTCAAAGTGGGCCACCAGTATGTCATGTAAACTTTCAAAGTGGGCCACCAGTAAGTATTTCGGACAAGATTTATGGATGTATGACGTTATTAAATGTGATTAATTCGTCAAGTCTATTGACTGCCCTAATTACTATAGGATGCCTACATTTCATGTCCACTGATCATAATTAATAATCTAACAATTTTCTTCCCTTTCCATTAGAGGAAAGCATATTATAATCTCACACAAATATTTTATAAATCCTATTTTTCAGTTTGCTTGAAATTGCCCTGATATCCCTTAAAATGCAGTTTTTGCAGTATCTGTTTTTGAAGTAAATAGGTCTCGAGTTCAAAATAATGACTTAATTTTTTTTTTTTTGTAATTTAATGACAATTAATTGAGTTTTTTTTTTTTTTTTGTAATTTAATCTTCTGTGTCAGATTAGTCTGTTTGTGTGTACATGAGGTAACAATGTGTGCAATAATTAATGTGTCCAGTCAACTATGTTAATGATAAACTATTTATTTATTTGTTTATATGTGTATAATAAAAGCTAAGATATACAAAAGTTATGTGCTTTTGGAACAACATGAGGGTGAATAAATGACAGAATTTATTGGGTATCACATTTTTGGGTGAGCTATTCCTTTAAATACATGTGTTACTTCAAGTGTAGCACATAATCAGAGTGTGTAGTGGCATACGGTTACACAGTTGACAAATTCCGCAGTGAAATCCTAATTTCCCTTGGAATATCGAAATGGTGTTTAAAGCTTGGCAACTAGAAGAAACAGATAAACTGAAACCAACAATCATATAATAGAGAACAAATATAGTTTAATTGATGTGATATGTACCCCCAATTATAGAATGAGCCATGCACTTCCCTGATGACTGAGGGAAGGAATCAACCACTACGATATTAATAATCTGTCCATGAGCGAGTGTTGATGATGGAAGCGAATGGGTGTGAAGATGCCACGGGAGGCGAACAGCCCGCTTTGGGCCCAGGGCTTCAGTCACCAGCTGCTGGTCAAAATGACTAGAGGGTGGTGTGTGTGTGTGTGTTGTGTGTTGT